GCGGGATCGGAGTTCCAGGGTGTAGGTGATGTAGTTACCCAGCACGATCCACCAAATGTAAAGGGGGTTTATTGAAGGACTGAGCAAGCGGGTGGTAGCTCTAAAGGAACGCAGGCGGACCCAGATGACGGTGCTTGATCGCCGATCTCGTGCCTTTTTCTTGTGTTGATGATAGCTGACCTGATGATATCAACGTCTTTCTTATTCACTACAAGTATATTGTTTTCTGCGAAGTATGACGCTCGTTCGGCGTGGCTCTTTGAAAACAACCGCGCTGACCTTACAGCCACGACCCGCGCGGCGGAGAGAGCCGTCCTCCTCACACAGCCAGCAGAGAGGATCGAGGAAGCGCTCAGCGGGTCACATGACCGAGAAGCGGCGCCCCGTTGCAAAGTGATTTTTTTCTCACTTGGCAAGGACTGCGTCTCCGCTGATACCCTCTGCACCGAGAAAGGACTCCTCTCTGCGACAGCTTTCTTTTTTTCTCACTCTCTCCGTGCACGGCCTAAAAAGAAGAAAGGTCTCTACGTGCAGAGATAGAAAAGGGAGAAGTGTGGCACAGGTGTGTCACAGATCGGCATTTGAGAGAGAGCAAACAGTCCGCCACAGTCTTTTGTTCCCTTTTCTTTTGCTTCTTTGCACGCAGCGTTGAGAGGTGCCACCGCGGGATCGGGCACAGTGCTGAGAGCATTTTCAGAGTGCCGTATGTTCGAATTAACCGTAGCAAGAGCTTGCGCGTTCGAATTACCGGGCGTTTTCGTCCATTAGAGATGACGGGACTTCAGCGTGAGCTCGATTATTCGAAAGTTCGAAATAAGCGTGTTCAAATTAATAAGATTCAACGGTGTTATTTTCTATCGTACCCATGGTCCCGTAGCGGTACATCAGGCCGCGATCGGGCCGCGAGGCGTTTCGTTCTTTGCATGCTTATAGGTGTGCACCCATATGAGCATACACTGCCACAAACTGTTATAATCAATATAATGAAATAATGGATATAACGAAATAATTGTGGCTTCCCTTAAGCTTTGTTATAACGAGGTTTGAGTATAGTAGTTCAAATTTACTTGACTTCGACTTTTAACAATGGAACAATTCTGAGTCATTGCAAAAAAGATGTGTCTGTATATGCTCATGTATTGCCCCTGTTTCAGTAACCTATATATAGCAGAGCTTCACAGACACTTGGCTAATCGTCTCGAGGGCACTAATCAGCGAGGGAAAGTTAGAAATTATCTACACTTTTGTCATAACTTCTGCCCACGCATATTTTATCTTTATACTGTTTGTGGTAATGCTGTGAAAGCTCGACCTTCTTCCATTTTTCTTCCTCCTGCTTCTGATACTTCATTAGAAGTGTGCACCCAAGAGGAAGAACGAGCAGTGATCCACTTATTATGGTCTATGGGTGTCAAAGGTTGAGACAGTCATCACAGCTATACTCGCAATATGAAAAAAGTGCAACGTTACATAGAAATGCATTTTTCGGGAATCGAGAATTTACAATTCGTCACAAACCTGAGGTTTATTGCCAAAAAAAATTTTTTTGCCGTTGCGTGACAAAGCACTGCTATGCACGGCTCATCACACTATTGAAACCATTAACAGGACCAAATTTGAGTTAATGCAACACCCTCCCTACCGCCAGACCTAGCTCCTGGTGACTTTCGCTTGCTTAAGCCACTAAAGGCTTTGCGTGGTCACCAGTCTGCCTCAGATTTAGACGTGCAGAATTCCCTGCAAAAGTGGCTTCACAAATAACCAAAAACATTTTATTTGGAAGCTTCTTGACGGTTGGGACAAATTTATTGATAAGGAGGAAGGTTACGTAGAAAGACGCTGTGCATAGTATAACCCCAGCTTCACATAATTGTTAGATTATTTCTGCTTTTCACTTGTGCAAAAAAAAAAAAGGTTTTTGATATGTGGAAGATTTTATGATCTACACTGGACACCTCACCTGAATGCTTTTCTAAAAGAGAGCTCCAAAATACTGAATTTGTGTCGCGATAGCTTTAACCCTGTCGAAGTCACGGTTCAATGGTTGGTTGACGAACGCATCAGACTTCTGGACCTCATGCTAACCTGCTCCGACTGATGCTCAGGGTTGTCAGATTTGGCTACTTTGCATCCATTTGGCCATTTTTTGAAGTAGGCGGCGGCACCAAAAGTGTTTGGCTAGTTTTGGACTACTTTCTTGTAACCTCGATTTGAACCAAGCTATCATCTTATGGCATTACAGCCGCTGATGATTGAATATACAGGGTCAAAACCTGCTCAAGGCGGGTTTCAACTTTCCAAATTGAATTTGGCCCTTTTATTGTTACAAATTGAAGTAAAAGAGAATCTATAAAGTATATGCTGTAAATGAAGTGTGATCGTACAGGCAAACCAGATAGCTGAATTAAACTGACCAGACGAATTTCGAATGAATGCACATGACTTTGTGGCATTTTATTTTCTACTTTACCAATACATCTCGAAATGGTTTTTATCTGGCAGATTCAGAAAAACTGGACACCACATCAAAAGCATCCCTAGACAATAACCCAGAATCAAAGGACCATAATTTAATATAATTTCTCAGGTTAAATCTTGTTCTGTAGAACATAATAGCAAGAAGTCTTACCCTTATTGACAAATATTGACGTCATAATTAAAAAATATAAGTTAAATGGTTTGCATTTCTTCACAGGAATCATGCAAGCACGATGTTTCCAGAAGAGGGTTGACAGCTCAGACATCCGTCATCACACGATGAACGATATCAAAGTTACTGCAATTTATGCTTCAACCACAGCAACTGTTATTTCAGCATACTCGAGCATTATTAATTTTTATTGCTACCATGCAATAGGTATTTAAGAAAAGCAACACAAGACACGTGAAGAGAGTGCCATTTCTGCATAAGTGTAAAAAAAATAAGTCATACTGCACAAAATGATTGCTTAAGTCAACAATTTATAATTTACTCTCAGAAATTTTGATTTGGAAGGACTCTTTTGGTACAAACAGGCATTTCCATCGAAAAGGCCCTTCTATTTAGCCATTTTAACATAAGCATGGCTACTTATGGCTTAAGTGTGTTGGAAAATACAGCATTTGTAATTAGTAATAGTTCAAATTACAATGAAGAAAGCCTATTCAGAAACAATTAATTCAGCGACTTGCCAATATTCTTCAACATGAAAATTTAGAAAAAATTCTCAAGCATTTCCCTGAGGGTGAACATGGTTAAGTGCGAATGCACGGGGTGATGCTATGAGGGGTATTTATTATTTTGCACTATTATATTTATTAATCACACTATGGTGCCTTTATGGTGTAATGGTTCCTGGGAATCGCAATTTGATCACACGGGGGAGTTTACGCTAACTCACTGGCGAATGCCAACGGATTTTAACTTTACTCCCCCTCATAGCATCACCCACCCTCGGGGAAATGCATGGGAGTTTCATTACTGATGATGATGATTAAAGTGTAATTAATAAATTTAAGTGTTGTTTGTCATGAAGCATTTGTACACAGATACATTATATACGAAGTATTATTTATTTACACTTCACGACGCGTCCGGACGAGCAAAATCCAGGGCTCGCACCCTCTCCCGCGCGGCACGTTCACTGGCTGGAACGGCTTCGGGAACGTCCACTCGCCGTTGACGATTGCGAGCGACGTCTCGACGCCGGCCTTCATCGCCCTTCTCCGCCTGACGCTTGCGTTGTCGTTCCGCTTCTTGGGCCGCGTTCGCGGCTCGATGCTGACGCCTCATCTCGGCCTCGCGAGCGCGCAGATCACCATCCGCTGCTCGCTTCGCCCGCTTGTCCTCGGCCTCGCGAGCGCGAAGTTCAGGCATCCTCTGCACGCTTCGCCCACTTGTCCTCGGCCTCGCGAGCGCGCAGTTCGGCATCCGCTGCACGCTTCCCCCGCTTGCACTCGGCCTCGCGAGCACGCAGTTCGGCATCCGCTGCACGCTTCGCCCGCTTACGTTTGGTCTCACGAGCCCTTCGCAGCGCCGCCTTGTCTTCCAACGTCGGCGAAACCACCGCGGTACCGTCACCTCCAATGACGGGTGCAGTGCTGGCTAAGGTTGTACTGCATTCGTTGTTGATGGTAGCGTTGCCTCCAGGACATCCATCGCACGACCCGCTCTCGACGGGAGACTGAGAGAGAAGGCGGGCGCGCGAGAGAGAGAGGTGTGCGCGCAGCTGTAGCGAGCGAAGGGGGATGGGGTATAAGGCGCGTTACTGACACCGATATCAGCGTCGCGTCCGTGGCTTATTCGGTAGAGCGTCGCGCTGCGGCCCGCCAAGTCCTCTTTCTTTTAAAGATAGAGAGAAGACTGCGGACGCCGCCGACGGCGGTGGATGGTTTGGGGTCGCCTATTAAGTGTATTCACACTTAAAAAACGTTTTGCTTAAGATGGCGATCCCGGAAGCATCATACTGTATTTCACAGTGCTAGCATATTTACCGAATACTCCAGACACAAGTCTGTAACTTGAAGCTTAGCAAAAGCATGAAACTTCACTATCTTACGAATACTCCATACACAAGTCTGTAACTTGAAGCTTAGCAAAAGCATGAAACTTCACTATGAGTCCATCCAGGAAATTTCATATTTCAACAAGCAAAGAAGTCTATGAGACGGTTTCCCTTGCATGCTTGCACTTGCACAGACAACATCAAATGAGATGTGAAGGCTCCTTCGCAACCCAGGCGGCAACCGCGCATACCTGTTCAGACTCTCTTGCTGGTTGCCCGCCTGGCCAAGGAAAGATGTGCTTTTGAGCACTTTGCTATCACGTGGGGCCCAAGATACGCCAGCGCCGCCCCCCCCCCCTCCCACTGCATGACATTCTGATTGGCTGCACCAAAATGGAAAGCTTCAGCGGGGAAACGGTCACCAGAGCAATCCAGCTCACTGCCTTTTTTACTGCCCACTTTTATATCCCGCCTCAGCCTTCTTTCTGAATGAGCCTTTCTGGTGAAAACACTGACCTCGTGTCCTAGCTGGCACAGACGCTGACGGCACTGCAGCAGGCGTGCCTCACAGGTGGCCAGCTGGGAGCGGGCCAGTGTCAACTCGGAGTGCAGCGTGCGCTCTTCCTGCCGCGAAAGGTGCAGCTGCTCTTCCAGGGGAGCCTCCTCCCACGTGGACAGCTCTGCAGGACAGAAAACTTCTTGAATTAGAATCAGCAATGCAATTATTGGGAGGCACAACTTGTGTTGACCGCACAACTGCATCAACACGGGTGGGAAGTGTTTCATAAAACTCTGCAGTTGCAGCACCAAGACCACAGACTTGCACCTCAACACAGTTCATGCACACCAACCGCGACAAAAGAGCATGAGCAGCCCAAGAAATTCACCTTAAAGTGGTTCTTTGGCTCTACGTTCATGTTGCATTTTCCCCTAGCGATGTAGACCTTTTTAATGTGGGAGTCACGATGTTGCCTAGCGAAGAGCGCCATTCCTGGTCTGGCAACACACTGGCACATGCGAAGTTCCACGTTTCAATGGTATGGTTGCTGTTGCACTCTGGTTTCTTCGTTCTGGCGCACTGAATTTCATCTCAAATGATGTCATATAGGTAGGAAATGAGTCTGTGAGATGTCCTGAAATGTTTGCAATCCATTCGGGGTCAAATATGATATGCCACGACGTGGACCTGTCGTATGTTTTCAGCACTCTTTCTGTTGGAAAAACGCAAGAATATCTCGACCTTCTAGCAGGGCAAGCAAGTGCAGGCCCCCTTTGAGAACAGGCACCCTCCCAGTTTGGTTACTGCTGTCGCAGCAACTACATCCGTACATGCGATCGTGCGTGAGTGCGCAGTTGCAACATTTGGAGATGTCGCCAGCCTTTGTTTATGGCTCACGAACTGTTGTCTTTATTTTGCTCGACCTTTAATTACGCCTTATTACTCAATCGTTTATTGTCCCTCGAGTGCGGACAAAATTAGAATCGTTCATAGGGAGCCGCTGGCACGCACAAAACGATGCTAATGTTTACATGCAAGCAAGCTTTCTTTTCTTTTTCTCTTTTTAGTCGTGGCACTTCATTGGATCGATGTGGAAGTGAAGGCACCAAGCGCGCCCGGGCTCGAGCCTATGATCGGTGTAAGAGCCATTCTTGCGTTTATAATTTTTTTTTGAAGATTTTGTCTTCCAGTAGTACGGCTTTTGCAAAGTCTTGGCCATCGTTCACAAAGCTAAGCACTAAAATCGACAGTGATAAAAACTATAGATTACTGCAACAATGCAGTTTAATTTTGTTTTACTTAACAGGATTAACTGTGTTATATTTCATTCCGCGACTTCTTAGACACAGTTCTTGATCACGCAAGACATTGTCTTCCTGAGGTATCGCACTATCGGGCACGCACGATACTTCTCACCGTGTTACGTAAGTTGTACACTCATGACAAGGATTCCGCCATGCCATTTTCATGTAAAATTCAGTGAATGTTCGAATTTCAGAAGGCTTATGTGCAGTGTAAATTAAACGAGTCATGTTGAATACCCCGCTGCAAAGTGAGGCGTTTTTCGTCAGTGTTGAGCCGAGCTACGAGGCTAATTGTTTTGATCAAACTCATCATACTAAAATATAGTAATAAAGCGAAGCGATGATGATATATGGTGTTTTTTGGTGCAAGGGCCATTTGATGGCCAAAGAGCGCCAGTTCATGGGACAAAGAATGTGGACAATGATCGTGATTAGCGGCTGTATAAGGGCCATAAAATTCCTCGCAACAAGGCGGGTAAAAACATACAAGTAATAAAATCATGACCATGCCGTGAAAGGAGTGTGTGATGTGAATAGGTGACAAAAGTTGGTGATAATGAAAAACGATGGTGGACATGTCTGGCATTAGCACAAGTGCCTCACTCGTTCGTACCCTTGCGTCCAAGGGCCGTGAGGCAAGTGCTTTCTTGGGTAGCCACGGCAGCAAAAACCTCTCTGGAGAGGTTGTGCTACGGAATGCCCGGGTATATGATATTAAACCTATGAAGTGCTTTTAAAAACGCTAACAAGGATTTATGACTAAAAAGCGGTTCCCTACCGACGAACATTGCAGGGTGTAAAGGTATATGTTGTCGGTAGGGTAATGGAAAATGTTGTTTTCTTAGAGTTTCTAAGTGTTTGCACTGGATTAACGTGTGAAGGACTGTTAATGCTTCACCACATCTGTCGCACAATGGTGGATCGCCCCCGGACAAAAGATATGTGTGTGTCGTGTATGTGCGTCCTATCCTAAGTCTCGTTAGTATTACCTCTGTATGACGCGATTTCGATACGGGCAGCCAATGACCAAGGTATGGTTTAATAACGTGTAGTTTGTTTTGTGTATGTGTATCCCACTTGCTCTGCCAGTATACCCTGAGGTTTAGTTTGAGAGACGGCTTAAGATCAAGGGCCGGGATTGATATAAGTGTAGTGGCAGTGCTTTTGTGAACGGATGCAGCGAGCTGATCCGCCCTCACGTTGCCCTGGCACCCAGCACACTACAACATGTTGTTTGAGTGTCTAGAGTGTGCACAAAATGGAGTAAAGTGAGACAAGGACCGGGTTTTTTGTTTTTTAAGACTGTGCAGAGCCGTTACCACACTAAGGGAGTCTGTATAAATTACTGCTTTTTGTATTTGTAATTGTTTGATGTGTTTAGCCGCCACAAGTATCGCATAGGCGTCCGCTGTGAAGATACTTGTGCCTGGATGTAGAGGGCCAGCATCCGAAAAGGATGGGCCGACAGCAGCGTAGGACACAGAGGAGTTAGACTTGGAGGCATCTGTAAAAAACTCAGGACGTGTGTATTTGTGTTGAAGTTCGAGGAAGTATGTTCGAATATGGGCAATAGGCGCATGCTTTGTAACTTCTAGAAAAGACACATCTCAGTCTATAGTATGCCATTGCCACGGTGGCGGGTATGCTACAGGAGCCATTAAACTGTGTTCAAGCGAGACTCCAGTTTCCTCAGCTAGACCCTTCAGGCGAACTGAGAAGGGCTGCCTCATCGAAGGCCTGTTTTGAAACAGAATTGAGCTCGACAAATCATTAATAGTAGAGTATGAGGGGTGCTTCTTGTCTGCTTTCACCTTAAGGAAATAAACAAAGGACATGTTAGTTCTCTGCAGATGAAGCGACCACTCATTTGACTCAACGTAAAGGCTTTCTACGGGGCTGGTGCGAAAAGCACTCGTAGAAAGGCGGATGCCCAAATGGTGCACGGGGTCCAGCATCTTCAAAGCACTTTGAGTTGCAGACTGATAAACAACGGCCCCATAATCTAAGTGGGTGCGAATGAGGCTTCGATACAGATTCATGAGGCATCGCCTATCACTACACCAAGTAGTACGTGACAATACTTTTTTAACATTCATGGCTTTTAAACATTTTGTTTTTAAATACTTGATGTGCAGTACGAAGGTCAACTTGTTGTCCAAGATTAATCCTAAGAATTTATGCTCCGTATTAACAGACAGACGTTGACTGTTCAGTTCAATGTCGGGTTCTGAGTGCATGCCTCTCTTTCGAGAGAACAAGACACACGTGCTTTTTTGTGGGTTAAGTCGAAATCCGTTTTCATCTGCCCATTTGGAGACCTTGTTTAAACCCAGCTGAACCTGCCGCTCACACATTGCCAAGTTGCATGACTTGAAGCCAAGCTGAACGTCGTCGACATATGTACAATAGAACATATTGCTGGGGATAGACAAGTGCAAGGAATTCATTTTGATAATAAAAAGTGTGCAACTAAGTACACCACCTTGTGGCACGCCTGTTTCCTGGACAAATGTTTGGGAGAGAACACTGCCCACACGGACACAGAATGTCCGGTTTGACAGGTAACTTTCGATTATGTGAAACATTCTTCCGCGCACACCAAGGTGAGACAGGTCTCTTAGAATTCCAAAATGCCATGTTGTATCATAAGCCTTTTCGATATCGAGGAACACAGAAAATATTGTTTATGGACGAAGGCGTCTCTGATCTGTGCCTCGATACGAACAAGGTGGTGTGTGGTGGATCTACTTTCCCGAAACCCGCACTAAATTGGGTCGAGCAAATTGTTTGTTTCAAGGATATGTACAAGTCGGCAGTTTATCATTTTTTCGAAGACTTTGCACAAGCAGCTTGTAAGTGCAATAGGCCTATAACTTGAAGCTAAAGAAGGGTCCTTGCCCTCTTTCAAAATGGGAATAATAATAGCCTCTTTCCAGGAGATAGGGATAGTGCCAGAAAACCAGATAGCATTGTACAAACAGAGTAGGGTTTTTCGTGTTTCTGCTGGTAGGTTTTTTAACATTTCGTACACCACACGGTCAGAACCTGGGGCAGAAGTACTGCAGGAGTTTAGAGATGTTCGGAGCTCAGCTAGACTGAAAGCTTGGTTATATGCCTCGTATTTAGTGGTTTTGTGTTCGAGTTTCTGCTTTTCTATTCTTGTTCTGTATTCTTGGAAAGTGTCAGTATAGTGGGACGAGCTGGATACCCGTTCAAAGTGTGCACCGAGGAAGTTTGCCTGATCTTCCAAGGTATCAGTCTGAGTGTTTACGAGTGGGAGTGAGTGTACTTTTCTTCCTGCTACCCTACGAGCCATGTTCCAGACTTTGGCCTCTTGTGGATATGAATTTATCCCTGATAAAAACTTGTGCCAACTTTCTCTTCTGGCCTGCCGACGCGTTCTCCTGCCTCGAGATTTTATTTTCTTAAAGCTCTCAAGGTTTTCCGCAGTCGGCGAGTTCCGCAGCAACCTCCAGGCCCTGTTCTGTTCCTTTCGCGCTTTCTGACACTCAGTGTTCCACCACGGGACATGTCGTTTGCCGGGCAGTCCAGACGTTTGTGGAATGCACTTGGCTGCTGCGTCAGTAAGAAAGGCCGTGAAGTACTGCACAGCTTCATCTATGCCTAATCCGCATATATCAGTCCAATTTAAGTGAGTAAGCTTTTGAAATTATTCCCAGTCGGCTTTGTTTACCAGCCATTTGGGAACATGTGGAGGACATTCATATATTTTTGGTGTATTCAAAACTAAAGGAAAATGGTCACTTCCGTATGGATTTTTTTATGACTTTCCACTGAAGCAATGGTACAAGTGAAGGAGATGCGATACTCAGGTCTATGGAAGAGTAAGTTTTGTTGGCAAGGTTATAGTATGTTGTCTCTTTCCTATTCA